TAAAAACAACAGCAACCAGCAAATTCCATTTGCAGATACTTCTCATCTTCCGTTTTGTTTTATACTTTTGAGGTTTTGTCTTCTTTCTCTTTTCTTGCTGCTGCCAAATTGAAATTCAAATCTATGTGCATATATTTAAAAGAATCATTGTCATACATACAGTAAGATTGATGAAAAAGGGAATAAAATGGAAAGTTTAAAAAAAAAACCGAACGAAAAATTGCAGAATCACTTAAGTGTGCTCAAGTAGGTACTTGATCTTTCCGTACAAAGTGACACTTGATTAAGAGCAGAACAACGAAGTGTTGTTGTGAATAATTATTCAGGAATTTTGAATTCGAATAATTGTTATTCCTCCTTTACTTTTTTTATGGTCGGTGTGAATTTGTTGCTGTACAAATTCTCTAAGTGTTCAAGATTTGAATTTAAAGAGTGATAATTAAGAACAATAAAGGGTGCGGTTTTTTGAGTGAATAAACTTGTTCATTTCTGACGTGTACCAAAAAAATAAAAATTGAGAAGTAACGGAGAATCTACAAGAAATTCCGTTATTAATTTATATATTTTCAATCATTAACGTTAATGTACCAAAGTGTGAAGACACATTAATTTCTTTTTAATAAAAATGTTTCTGGTTAATTATTTGAAATAAATTTGCTTCGTTCGTTTGCCTTATTTCGGCACCGGCAAACAGGAAAGAAAAAAGACTTCAACTGGTTTTAATAAATAAATTCTACTCAAAAAAAAAAGTTGTGAGTTTTGTTATTTTAATCATGAAGATCAGCATGCGGGCTCTCATTAAACATTCAAATAGATAGAAAAAGAAATATATTCAAGAAAGTTCAAGTTTATTTGGGAAGAATAATTGCGAGCACACCTACATTTTAGACTTTTGATTCATCTTGGCGTTTGTGTTTTGGGCCCGAGCGGCAATGACCGGTAAATTGTCAAGGTTGTGACTTGGTCTTGAATTAGAACATATTTCAGAGGTTCTCTAGGGCAAGGTCTTTGGATAAAGACCACCTTACACATTTTATTGATTCTATTTCTATTCTAGAGCCATATTTCCTTCATTGGAATGGCTTCCTGTAGTTATCCATCACCTCACAGCATAGCGTAGACAATTTTCATCCTCTCCCGCTCGGGAATAACAGCAAATAACATTCACTTCAATATGGATAGTGTCTTTAAAATTGACATTTCTTTATTTTATATTTTTGCTCATCTAGAAAGTCATTGCCTGCAAATTCTCTCTTGAAAAATGATGGACATTACTTGAAATGTTTATTGTTCTTGTGAGTCCATAACTTTCAGTAATATGAGACATTATTTTGTCAATTTTATCATTTTGTTATTCAAACTAAATTTCTAGACAAACAAAATCCATCCAAAATCGCATTTGTCAATGACCTCTTAAGCAAGCTTCACAAAGTACCATTGATCTTTAGTCTCTCTTAAGTGTTTCTTCGAAAAACAAAATAATCATTATTGAATTGTAAACAATTAAGGACTTAATGTTCGTAAACCTCAAAATTGATATTTGGCATTTAAATATATTTATTAAAAATGATCATAAAATTCCATTGAATAAAAAGTGTGAAGTTAATTAATAATGAAAAATTATTCTCAATTATTTTTTACACTACAATCATGTTCAATGATATACCTCAATAATTTATTCAGGTTGCGTTTTGTTTGAGAGATTTGAGATAATTTGAATGCAGTTTGTCTGGTGTTAAATTAATTTGAAATATTCAATTTATCGTGATTTGAAAATATTCAATATTTTGTTTTGAATTATAAAACTTAACAGATTTAAGCGATTTAGATAATTGTGATATAAAATGGCTTAATAGCTCAATAGATTAAAATTCCTTTATTATTTCGATTCAAAGTTCATGGATTCAAATCCCATAATAATCAATTAACGTATTTAATTCATTTTGGACAGTAAAGAAAACAGAATTTCTTGATTATTGCTACCAATCGTCAGTTATATTCCATAAAATGCGCTCCAAAACCCATATCATTACACAATAACCAACATTAAAAATTAAAAGCTACAATAAATTCACTACCATTTGAATTTAGTGCAAATGTATAAAAATTCAAAGCAATAAATGCGATAATTAATTATTCAATTTAAAAAGTGATATTTTATCAAGCCTGTACTCGATTAAAAGTTTCCAACATGGAATTAAAATAAAATCCATTTGGAACTCGATCCTGCAACAATGTACGCAAGTTTTAATCAAATAAATCCCTCTCGTCGTGGATCTGTGAGGAACGATACATTAAAAATTATGACAGCAAACAACACAAAATCTATGTCATGTTCAACTGCAATTGTGGCAGACAAGTCTGATGACTTAAGGAATGTGTTGTGATGTGCCAAGATTTCAGATGAAAATTATTTTCTTTAATTATTATTGCATTTCAAATCCTGCTACTGCTGCTGTTCATAAGATGATAAATAATGACAATCATTACTATTATTATATGTCTTTGGACTTATCATCTTTGTTTAATCTTCATTTGTAATGCCTACACAATGTTTATAGACCAATGTGTCTTAAGACATTGCATTCACATCCAGTTTAAATATAATTTATGCTTTATTGATTTTAATTTTCCTGTTCCTTATCGTTCTCATATGCATAGCTTTTTTTTTTGTTTAATGAATCGCTGTTCTGTTGCGTCAATCATTCCAAGAATGCATTCACTACTCCTGATGTGATGCATTTTAGAAGAAGAAAAAATATGAAAAATTATAATAATGATAAATGACATTCAAGTTGAGATTGCTTCCGATGTGAGCATTTGCAATATAAGACTCATCGCAGTGACTCCTTTTACTTTATGTTACATGTCAGGGGTGTAGCTAGAAGGAGTCAGGGATTTGGTCAGGATGATGAGGATGTAGTCATAGTGACGGGTGTGAAAAAAGAAAAGCCAAAGGTACAGAATTGAAGTTAAAACGCTAGGATCATATCCAAAAGATCAGTTGCATAGTTAAGATGGTCAAGAAGAGACTTAAAGGGTCTGAAGAATGTCAAGAACGTCTGACACCCGAAAAAAGATCTAATCTCATTGCAATAGCTTAAAAACCTCTTCAATAGTTTCGTATCTGAATCAAAAACTACTCTCTGACTTCACCCCTGTCACCTTGTTGTGTCTTCTGCATTTCTATGGCGTTTATGATGTAATTACTCAAATGAATAGCTTTTCCAGTGGAGTTAACCGCTGCATGGCATCGCAAATATGTCTCCGATTTAATTATATTAATCAATCAGAATTATTACATGACGGTGAAGTAAATTAGTCATTTTGATTACTCAAAGGCACTAGACACATTCACTTCTTACGTTTCTATTTGTTTTACTTGCTCGTTGACTTATGAACATTATTAGCTTTTTGTTGGGCTGTAAATGGAAAACAACAAATTGAAAGAATAAAATATAAAAAGTTTTTATTAATTTGTCATTAGCAAATTGCAAAATGTTTTGTCATAATTCATGCCTGTAACTTTATATATATCAAATTCATGAAAGGTTCATATATGGGCAAATATTTGCTGATATGATTTCAACGAGTTATATTTTATTTTAAATCAATTAGTCCAAATCCATTGTTCTTATATAGATATAGATATTTTATGAAGTCAGTTACAGCGGCATTTCTTTTACTTTATGTCAGCTGCATTGCTTTATGGTAAGAATATAAAAAAAAAGGTTTTATTTTTATTAATTTGCAATGAAAATGAAAGTACAAAGGAATGAAAATGACGTAATTGCTTCTACCTTATCTATGCTTTATAATTTATTCAAAAATTTTTGCTTGCATGCAAATTGCAGAATTGATTAAATCTGGAACAATATTTGTCTATGACTGGGGCTGGGAGTTCTTGCAAATTGTGTGACTTGTGTAGATTCTCGCTGATTCCTTGACATATTAATACGACCTTTATCCATACATTTGCATCTGGTAGTTTCAAGGGTGTGACACAATCTTGCATGATCATCGTTTACGTGTCAGAAATGAAATTTGAACATGCTTAAAGTTCTGTATCCTGCAAGGGAGTCATTCCTAAATAATGTAAGTCAAAAATGCAGTTTTGGACCACCCTTAATGCCCCTTGTCATAACATTTTGATGAATTAAAGCTTCGTGGTTCCTCTGTTGCTCTCCAATTCCTTAATGTAAGACATAATTAGCAAATGATCCCTTAAAACTGTCAGCAACATAATATTTCGTGAATAAACCACATCCATAAAGTAAACCAAAGTTTCGTGTCTCTGACGAATTGTGTGCTGTAAATCAGCAGCTCATAAAAAAATTAGAAACAACTAGAAATACTTAACTAACGATATCTTAATTACATGCATATATAATGCAAATTTTGCACCTTTTTTTATTATTATTTCATTTAAATGACTCCAGTAGTAGCTATTCAGCATGAATTTTTCATCAATCATGCACTAGTAGGAAAAAAATAAGCATAGAATAGAAGAAATATATGCACACGATAACTTAAATTGAGCGCATAATAAAAACAAAATAAGAGTTGAAGTAGAAAAATATATAAAAAGTGAATGGCAATGAGTAGCATGTGCTTACAATAAACGAATAAAAATTAATATATTGGGTGTGGTTGATTGTACCCAATTTTCTAATCAATTTGTTCATGCAATGCCTGCTTGAAGGAGAGAGTGAAATAAAATTAAAAAGTATTTGGGGTCGTTCATTAATGATGGCAAACTTTAAGAAGGGACTCACTGTTCAAGCTCCGAATCCTAGCTTACTCTGTACAATGTGTCTTAAGGTTGAGCAACGTGATACTCAACACACAACAATCCCTCACTTTTTGATAGACATCACTTGGAAACGACCCCATACCTACTCATGTCACTATCAAACTGTCGACAGCACTCAACAAATTTAGAAATGCTTATGTAATAACAATTTTTTAACATTTTATTCCTCTTATTCTTTTATTTACAGTTCTTAATGGATATTCGAGTGTTGCAATTGCACTCAGTCGCGATCTCGACATACGCTTAAATACAGCTGTTAAGAAAATTCGATATTGGGATGGAGGCGTTGAAGTAACGGCAGAAAATTTGAAGACCAATAATTCACAAGTTGTTCATAAAGGTGAGAATAAAAGAAAAATTATTCATAATGTTTTTGGTGCTTACACCTCTTATTCAATCCATTTTTATAAACTCTCCTTTGGTCTCTTGAACAAAAGCATGTGTGTGAAATGGATGAAAGATGCGTAGTTTATTAAAATTATCTCATCGTTTCGCATCTTAAAGACCATTTGAAGATTCTACGGTACATTTTTCTTGTACGAAAACTGCAACAATAACCGGCAATTGAATGCTTTTCTTGTTTTCTTAAGGAAAGAACCTTATCGAACAATTCTCGCGTTCAAATAAAGCAACAGCAGTAAAAAAGTATTCTTTATGCATTTTAGTATATTTGGTTCGTCTGTCTGTCTGGCTATCTACAGCTCTAATATTGAGCGCAGTATGATTTTGAATATAGCGCCCAAGACGCATACCCAACCTCAAACTTGCGAATTCATGTTTACGATGTTGTTTGATTTTTATTGTTTTAATGCAAAACTCAGCACTTCTCATTTAATAAGCTCTAATTTATAGCTTTACTTGCCGATATTCCTTGTCTATGCTTCATCGGAAATCAAATGCCTCCTTTCTTGCTTTTTACACTGCTGCATATTTTCTTGTATTTGATAAAAAGGCATAAATCCTAAGGCTTTGTTATAATGCTATTCAGACATATAAAACTGCAAAGAAATCGCAGCACATTAATTTTTTATTGTCTTTTCGTGCGTTTAAGATTAACTTCGTTCGATATTTCAGCTAAATGTTCGTAATTATCGTTATTAAAAATGAATACATGAACAAGGAAGGAGATATGCTTGAATTTTTTTTTTTATAAAATAGCGACATTTAATTCATTTTTGTTTTATCAACGGAGTCGATACCGATGACATAAGATTTTATGTTGTATTTATTTTTTACTTAATTAAATGTTGGTATTTCACAATACAAAAATGCTACTATTAGAAAGTAAAAGGTTTGGCAACTAAAATCCTCATTGTTATGTGAAATACCTCAATTATTTTTTTGCACAATTGATTTAATCAGTTACTTCATGCACAACCGACACAATTTAAGTTTTTTTTTGCTTATTTTTTTTATCAAAGTGTCTCATCCCGTACCATAAAGTCGTGAAAAAATTTTTCTTCCTCGCCTTTTGTTAATGTCATGAAGATGAAGAAACGCACGATAGAGATGATCTCATTAAAAAAATATTGTATGTCGTTATTGTTATTTTTATAGACCTTTTTTTTGTGTGTGCAAAAGAAATTGAGTAAAAATTTCTTTTAAAAGTATAAACCAGTAATGAAAGACATCAAGGATAAGGGTCAAAATAGCGCATATTTTCTATAAAGGGTTTAGAGATCATTGTTGGAACATTTTTCTTAAAAATTCTGGAAAATTGTTCCTTGTGACTTAACAAGATTTGGTTCCTTACCTCAATGGGTACAACAATAGTAAAATTTTAATAATTTTTGGATGAATTCTTTTTCCTAAAGCTAGTTTAAGTTTTAAAATGTTTTGCTAAGATTTATATAAGGCTAATTGTTTCGCGTGTAGAATGAATAAGTGATGTCATGAGATATGAGATTTGGCTTGTGTGGGAATCGAACCCATATCCTTATGAATTTTAAAAATTAAAGATTATTAATTTTTGTTCTGTTGCTTTGTCATTTGGCCACATAAGCTTTAATCTCGAACTGGCAGATTTGCTTACATAAAGCTTGATACCCAAGACTCCATTTGACAATTGCTGACAAAATTAAGTCCTTTAGAATAATAATTTAATTACAGTCAGACAGACACAGCTCTAACATTAGCAACTTGTCCCCCTTGCAAAAAATGCACATTTTAAAAAACGAAAGAGGAAAGAAGGAAGAACAACGAAGGCATTTAACAATGGAGGGGGGATAACATAACAAGAACATCAATATCGATAGGTTAATAATTGTATTATTATACTTATTTTTCGTTGAATTATAGCACGTAGAACAGAAACAAGGAAAAAAAAGTTATTTGAACAAAAGGCAAACCTTAATAAGAAGAAGGCTTTAACAAGCTTATTATTTGAAGAAGAAAGCCAAACAATCTGTTCATATGACTACGGGAATTATTCATCAATAATGTAATTTATTTACATACATTCCGATTGTAGGCACAAAAAAAATATCTTCATCAGTAGATGCCTTATATTTTTTTTTTTGAAGACGTTTTGTGTGCGAGTTCTGAATTGCTGATTGTACACGACATCACGATAACAATTTATAATGAGCTTATTAATGTTATTTTTCTCCTTTAACCACAAGACTTGCTCCAATCCCATCTTCATTCTTACTTTTTTTTTCTCCTTCATCTCTCGTGCAAACATATTAAAGCGACATAAGACAATGTAGTGTATTTTTTTAATATAGCGTGTCTCGTTAAGCGAGAGCTTCCTACTCCCTCATATTTTTTTTCCATGCCTTCAATTCTTTATTTCTTCAGTTTAATTAACCCATTCGCAATGGGAAATTTTTCACATATTATGTTGTTATACTATGCAAAAGAATATTGTATGAAAAATAAATGAAATGAATTTATTGAGAAATCGGGAGCGTGAAAAATTATTCGCCTACGAATAATATGCCTTTGGTATATGCTTATTCATGCGACCAACCCTATAAAAACGAAGATGACAATAATATTCTTATTGCCTCTATTCGCAAATTTGCTACACCTAAAATAATAATAATAAATTTATAACAATGCCATGATCTTTAATGTGTTTCTATTTATTTGCTTAATCATGCACAAAAGCAGTAGCGATTATCATAAAATAAGAGACAATAGATGTATATATCCTAATTAAAATAAATTCTAATGCTCTATGTCTCACTCATGTTGGAATGTTTCCGCAATTGAGGGGTTGATTGGAGCTTTTGTAACGGCTTTAATGATTCATTTTATACTTCTTTGGTATTATATTTTAGCTTTGCAGGCTGGAAGGTTCTATTCTAGGCCTATTCTATTCCCATACCAGGCGTTTTAATTTTTAGATTAAAAGTGCTTTACGAAAAATTTCAATCTAAGGATTGGTTAGCTTAGATAAGTCTAAAGTCGATTAAACATTAAAAGGAGCACCAGTCAATATTAACGAGATCTTCAATCATTCAGGCCTTAAATTTCTATGATTATAGGTAAGGCACAGGTACTGTACACACTTTCAAAGCACATCAGCATCAAAATTTTGAGAATCTCTTCTAGATATGGTATTAAACCTAATATGTTCATAGGAGCAAAATGTGAAGCACCTCCAAATTCAAAGTACCTAAAAACAACCATCACCTAATACCCAAACGACAAGAAAAGTTTCTCGCAAAAAAGCTAATGAAAAAAGAAAAATGTCGCTTTAATGTGACAACTTCGAGAAAGAATTGAGGCAGTTAAGACGCTGAGGAAGAAGAAGATGGCAAAAATAAATAAATGACTCCCACACACGAACACAAAGTCTTGAGAAGAAGTAAAGAGTAAAAAAAGCTACAGCCCAAATAAAGCGGCAATGAAGAAAAGAAAGAAAAAAAATTTTTGCATCTCATCTGATTTGGGCTGTAAATAAATTTTCTGTTTATTTTTATGTCATGTCGTGTGTACATTCAGTATATATTATAATGCGACAAAAGGCAAGAATATATTCAGTGAGGTTGACTTAATTAATTACTCTTTTGCCAAGATTCATATCACTTTCGACTCTTTGTGCGAGATTCTTAATTGTTCAGGTTTAATTCATAATATAAATCTTAAGGTGCTTTATAGTTAACTGGTGTCTCATTTCTTTCATTTTACTTCTTTTTTGCGCCACCACTGATCGTCCATGCACTCTGGTCTATACGAAATAAAAAAAAAAATCGAAAAAACAGGTAACATGCATGACAACATTCAGCAAATTCGTAAAATCTTGATAACAGATCAAGAGACGCAAAATGCAAGCGAAAGTGTAAAATATTTTTTTATATTTCACTTCTCTCGTGTGTTTACAGGACACAATGCAGAAAACTTGTTTCGGTGAAATTAATTGTATGATATTAAATTGATTTTTTTTTTTTTGGAAGTCAATTGACTTGATATATATTCGTCTGGTTGAGTTTATAAAGTATTTTTTTAATCATGAAATATTTCTACATTAAAGTATCAATATGTTATCCTGTTAGGGTCGAAAGTGTGGTGATTATTTCTTACTTTTTTTGGCGAAAATAATTGAAAACAATTTTTTTAAGGGTTCATTGAATGAGTCAATTGGCATTAGAGGCTAAAGATGTAGAGCAGAAGTAAAGCGTTAGTCATGGCGTTCATATTATGTCTCAAGCGTCAAAGATTCGATTCTTAGTATAGTTAAATTAAAAGGAGCTCGCATTCAGTTATTAAATTTGGAATAATAACAGTAGGAACATTTAGGATGCTTAGACCTATCTCAAAAAATTTCCCAAGAACCAAAAGTGTGCACAATATAGACTACACACCTCTATGATCTATAGCCATTTGAAATCATATAATTCTTTATAAGATGAATTATTCCATCCATCTTATGCATGATACTCACACAAAAGCCTGTATGCATGAGCCTCACACCTTAACTCCTCATCATTATTAAAGCCCATCCAATTGCGTGAAACATATCGAATAAATAAGTGACAATTTCGAACAATTGGAATATGTTTTTTCTGCAAAATTATTACCTTGCATTTTCGTAGGAAGTAACACATCAAGCCAATTCACGTGTTATTGTGTATATTTATTCCAATTCTTCTCTCTATCTTATCATTTCTACATAATCTCATTCGTGAATTGACATCGACAGATATATTATAGATTTTCTTATTATTCCTTACTTTTGGTTGTTCAAGAACTTCTGCACATTTTTATTTTTCTTATCTCCATCCAATCTTGAACTTAACTTTATATTCTGTATCATCGTTTCGAAAAGTTGTGAAAATTTCACTTCCTTTTTACAATTTCTTCTTCTTCTTAATCTTCAGTTTTATATTGATTAAGCATTGATAAGCCATGTCATCTGTTGAAAATGAAGAAATATCTATTAATCTCAATGTTCTTATTCTACGTACCTTCTTGTTGTATCTTAAATCAAAAAAAAAAAATCCTTTATGTACGTAACATTTTCAAGTAGCTAAAATGAAAGGTTGACATCAAGAAGCTTAAGAAAAGAGAAATGAAAATGCTTACGACTTGAAATCTCATTTCTGTGAATGCTCTGAATGGAATGTTGAGTATTTTTGACGTGCAAAATCTATATAAGAATAATCAGGGGTAAAAAGGTAGAAAAAGTTGCTTTGGACGTTGCTTGAAACTTTTTTTTATGATTTGTAATGCTCTTATGAAATATCATTTATTCTCACACTTAATTTCTTCATCGATTATAGAAGTCCTTGAGGTTTCTTTCAATACTGTATCGATGTTGAACGAAATTGACATTCTACCGAGCAAATTTTTGCCATCATTACTTTAGTTCTTTTCATCAGTTTTTATACTAAAAAGATTTTATTTTGCTGCTCGTTGTTAGTCATTTTAGAATGAGGTGAAGTGAGATTCTTGGATTTATGATTGCTCACGTATAGTTTTGTAATGGAAACTGTTGAATTGGAACTAGAATGTAAGGATTTATAATTAAGATTTCAATTAAATTCAAAAATTACTCAAAATCAATCTAAAAGGTTGTTGTCTTGGACGGTTTCAAGCTAACATTGCACATGTAGGTTGGGCATCCTAGTATCTTATCTCCTTCACCTCTAGTTCACCATGGGGAGCAGAGGCTACTCTAGAAAGTTAGAATTAAGTAGGATAGGATCACTCGGATGTCAAAGGTTATCTTAGGATTATTCTAGAACACAATTATGCAATGTGGCTCGAAGTTAAGTATTTGTACCCTCTTGGTTCATATTCATATAAGGACCTTTAAAGCATGTCAAGCATTAAGTGTTATTGCTTCGATTGAGTGTTCTGACGGAACCAAAGAGTGTCCTTAATGCACTATTTCTCGTCTACCTAAATACATCAATTCCTCAGCCATTCAGTAACAAAATACAGAAATATATGAAAGTAAAACAAATAACTCCAGATATCCTTTACATCGCATTATGTTTAATATTCAAGTCTCTCAATATCAACCGCTCTATTGCTGCTGCAGTAACTTTTGTTGTTACTTTTATGTTTTTAATCTTCTCTTTCTTTTGAAGTAACTTGACATTAATTGGACAAAAAATGGTTATTTTATATATGAGAAGACTTTTTACATGGCTTTGAGTATGGCACACAACGAACAAACACTAAAAAAATATAAAAAAAGAATGTTCCCGTTTTTCTCATTTTAAATTGCATTTTTTTGTGCTGCTGTTGCTACTCGCTTAGCAAAAGATTCTGAATGTAGAATAAGAAAAATAAGAGGAGCATTAAAAAAGGCACACAAAGTGGTGTTGATAAAGAAAGAAGTTATTTGAATGGAGGTAGTTAAAGTAGAAAAATAAGAACGGCGACGAAGAATGAAAAATATTAAATTTCACTGTTTATGGATTATTAGAGTCTTCCTTCATGTATATGCCTATGAAACAAGTCTTAAGATATGAAATTTTAATAACAACAATACTTTGTGTAGATACATGAATGGCTATGGTACTCATGTTGACTTTATTACATTGTTTATGTGAGAAGTTTGCAGGGTTGGTTATTAGTTGACTGTGACTGAGTAGCTGTGACTAAAGCTAAGACTAAGTAGCTGTGACTAACAGTTTTTCCGCATTTACTTCATTTGTTGGCTAGAGAAACAGTCAGCACTTCTTATTTAAGTAGTAGGTTAACAGACAGCTACAGATTAGAGGTTTTGTCAATTCGAAGACATCACATATCATTCCTTGTAAGGCAATAAATTTTATTCGCAGATTCTTTTAGCACCAATTTAGCATCATTGGTATACCTGTGAAAGTCTTGTGACTCTTAAAAATCTAAGATAGAGCAATCTGTATATCCTGGGAAATATAGTCTAATATGGCTTCATAGACATAGATTGGGACCATACCCAAGGTACTCATAGGCTTAATATTTGTTATACTTTAAAAATTAAACAGCATATCATTTTCCTAAAATTCAAGCAATCAAAATTGTCAGCACTAGTTTATATCCCTGAATCAAATCTGACTAAACTACAACTATGTCAAAAACATCAACTCTGAAAGTTTTCCTTACAAATTAAAAAAATATTCTCTCATCATGTTGAGGCACAGGGCATCAAATAAAAAATATGAATCTTCTAAAAATTCAACATCAATAAAGTGTATCTTATGACCAGCTTTAAATCACATGAAATTAATGAGATTTGTGACCATAAGATAGTTATATGTTTTGTTGTTGTTGTTTATTGTGTAAATGTTTTGCTGCTCCTCTTTTATTGCCCTATCTATTTCTTTAATATACAAAATTATGGTTATTTTTTTGGAAAAAAGAAAATATAATAATATTATAATAGTTTAACTTGATTTATGAATAGTTTCATTCATAGAACATGCTTCGTTATGGATTGTATAATAAATTTCACACACAGCAGAGTACTAATGATACTTCAATCAAGTAAAGACTATAAAAATATTGTGTGTAAATTTCTCCTCGGTGAGACTTTTGCGAGCTATAATAATATTTAGGTATTAAAATTATCCGTAATAATGTTGACATAATTTAAACTCATTAGCTTTCGCATAAAAAAGATTTTTTGACATTTAGAGATGTAATTTAAAATTTGATAGCTTTTGCAGTAAAATTTTGACAAAATTCTCATAAGAGCCTAATTAATTTCGAGAGGCAAACTCAACAAAAAGCAGAGACAAAGAGGCATTCTTTTACCAAAAGTAACATTGACATTTTCTTCATTATTATTATTGTCATTTGGGCTTCTTTTATAAGTTTTTTTTTTCAGCTGAAGAAAAATGAAGCGTTTATCTTTGACACATATGGTCCTTTTATTTGCGACCACAAAGAATTCTTTTATTTGTCTTTATTTTCTTTTAATTTCATTCTTTAAGTTTCACTTTGTATGTTTGCCACAGTCACACACAATCACTGCTGATGATGATAAATTCATTTAATTAATTATACGATGGACGTATGAAAAGAGAAAGAAACTTTTTTTTTCTTTTCATTCTTGTTCTTTTTATATAATTTTTTGGGGGTCGTCAACTTATGTTGTCAAGGACTGCAGTCAAGAATTGTTTTTGCAGCTGGGTATCAAATTAAGTTACTGTTAATGGTTGATCTTTTTCTACAAATTAAAATTGCAAAGACTTTTTTTTAGAAATTTACTATTAACACTGTTAAAGACAGTCCTCATCAAATAGCTCTGATAATGAAGAAGCATGACTCAGGATAACCAGCTTCAAACGACTCATAGAAACAGAAGCATAGTCTTGAATAAAATAGTGCCTTATTCTGACCTGATGATGCTCTAAACTCAGAAAAGGAGATACTAGTCCCCAAATCTTTGGTAGGGTTGGAACTTTTTAACCATAACTAAGCAGATGGTTTATTAATCCTAGTATATACCTAGGATATACTATGCACCATCACCAATGCTAGCAAACAGAAATTTTTGAGTTCTTATTATTCGAACTTCGAATTTTTGAGGTTCTTATTTTTCGAAAATCGAATCTTCGAAGTTCTTATTTTTAAAAAAATTCGTTGTGAATTATTATTTTTCGAGTAATTTGTAATTTAAGTGAACATTCCTACTACTTTTTATGATTAAGATAATCACTGTGATGAAATTGCATTCCTTAAATGTTTACGCTTTATGCTGTAAATAAAAAGTAACGGACTTTCTAATTTCGAAATGTTAAAAAAATACCGCGCGAAAATTTTGAAATTTTTTTGTTTGTAACGGACTCTGTTCTCTTTGCTAACATTGGCACCATCATATCTCTCTACTTTTGTCAACTGAAAATTAGCATCTTAACTCTTTAAGATATCTCTAAGTCTTAACTAAGCACAAAGCATTACCTAGTCTCATCTAAGTCTACAAAACTAGTCAGATCAAGTATTCAGATACCTTCAGTATCCTCCATTAGCTAATGGCTTATTAAGATACCGCTGACCTTACTCATTTTCTAAAATTACCCTGTAACTGTATAATACTCATCATTTCCTCACAACCCCATACAATTCTAATGCAGAAAGTATAAAAGATAAATAGAAGAAGATATAAGATGTGAGGATGTGCATAAACTTATCAACAACACATGCGAAAGATTTTTGTTTGCGTAGATATTTTCTTGTTCTGACCTAATTTTACTACTTTTTCTTTGTCTGAGGATACAAAAAGGAATATCCTGCTGATTTCTGTTCATTGATGGACGCAAGTGAATATTAAAACATAAAGTTTTCTCTTTATTCTTGCTCCAATAACCTAAATAAATCGGAGCAACATCCTGTTTATTGCTTAAAGCTCGTGGGTGGGGATGGAAAATATCCCTAATAGATGAAAATGAGGGAAAGATTGATCATCTTGTTTGATTAGTTTTTGGAGCCATTTCTCATGATGATAATCTCCATCGTTCAACATGTTTGAGAATAATAGTAAAAAAAAATCGTAATTGCTGTTAAGCCTTCGCATTCTCATGATTGATTTTCATCACTATTTTTTCCCATCTTCCGATGAATCAACTCATCCAACAAAATTGATTTCAATCACTCACAATAATAAAATTTCTCTCTTTTTTTTAATCCACAGCTGACATTGTTCTATCAACATTGACACTTGGTATATTAAAAGTGGCCATAGCAAAGGAATCGAATCAGTTGAATACAGTTCGCTTTGATCCACCGTTGCCTCAATGGAAACAGACGGCAATTGAAAGACTCGGTTTTGGAAATTTGAATAAAGTTTGCCTATGCTTTGATCGTGTATTTTGGGAACCAGACATTAATCTATTTGGACATGTTGGTAGCACAACGGCTAGTCGAGGTGAGTTTTTTGTTGTTTTATTTTATTATTTATGTATATTTATATATGGAACGTTGATTGAGAACTTGCACTCATGGTTAAATTGGCAGCACAAAGAAATTGCCATCCATTAAGAGATTTCGATATTGAATCAAGAAATTAATGATAAGCTGAAAGGCCATTTAGTTTTTTTTTTTTCTCTTTCGTCTTCTTCATCTCCTTCTATACATGCTACATATTTGTCATTTATTTTTTTTCTCTACCTTGGGGCTTGTGTGGATGTTAAGTAATGCTAAAATGATTATTTAAATTTTGTTGCTCAGGAGTTGATTTCTCGTTTTGAAGCAACACTGTTGTCGATATTCATATCCTAGAGTATGGCTTTAAAATGCAGCCATAACTGCATTAAAATAAAAATTAAGCTGGTTTAAGAAAAAGGGTATCAGTACGACGTAAAATCGGTAGGGACCATAGTGTTACGCAATATTCCAACTGCTCCTTCCTTCATTCCATGCTTACACATAATAAAAATTGCAAAATATATGTGCATAAACTTGTGATGCACGTAAAATGTATAAAAACATTAAGGAGAACATTTTTTTTTTTCTCAGGGGAGGATAAACATAATAAGAAAGTTTGATGTAATCAGTTTAAGGTCTAGTATAGGAAATGTAAAGATAAGTAACATCGTTGCGTTCCCCTGATCTCTCTTACTCGCGTTCCTCTCCTTTCATTCATTTTCATGTTCATATCAATCGATCTTTTATGGTTTGATGGCTATTGCTGTTACATGTATGAAAAGCTATTATTTTCATGTCGCTATAGCCTAAAACATAACATAATATAAAAAATAGCTGCAATGGCACACACAGTGTGTCTACCGATAAATCTTGTGTTTAACCATTTCTCGTTATCTTTGTACTCGTTGCTTTATGATTCTGTCGCGTTCGATGCAATATGTGTCTTGTTGTAAAAATTGTACGTATGTACATTGACAACGAGAATTATGGATAAGAAGAAGAAGAATGAGACGTAAGTTAATGGCTAAGTTGAGTCAATGACATTACTCTCTCAATAGCAATTGCTCTGTCCTTCTCCCCAGTTTTTTTCCACTCTGACTTATCATCATTCTTGCTCCGATGTTGGTTGAAGACTTATTGTTACAATCTCTTTGCAATAATAAATTGATACACACATGATAGACTTGTAATCTCTTTCTTTCTCTCTTTCTACCTATATTTAGTCATCCGTATGTCTTTCTTTTTTTTTTGCTGCCTTGCTGCTTGTTATTGGCAGGTATGAAGGAGAACGAAAAAGATCCATCACAAGCACATTTAGATATGTGCATTAATATTGCAGCAATCAGTTGAATTGTATCTACATAGTCAAACACTCTGACGTTACATATTTCTGCGGTGACGAGATATTTTGTTGTTTCACTACGTGTTACTACATGGTTAAGAGATTTAACAGAAAAAAGGAATTTGCTGTTGCATTTATTTAAAGTCGTCGGTCTTATCTTAATTTTTTTTTTTCATTGAATTATCATACATTGTTGTGTTCTTCATAGTAATGCTGTTTTTGCTGTTTACGGTTAGGATACTTAGAGAATTAAATGGATGTGGTTTTTGAGATTTAATCAATTGAATGGCTTATCATTGGCGTTACTTTAATTAGTTTCTTTGTTGTTGACTTACTTAGTTGACTAGGATTCATTGTGCATTCTGTCGAACTCTAAGTTGTCAGAATACTGGAATTGCTTAAATTGACATTTTCTATTTTAATTGCGTGAATCTTTGAGCTCTTACAATTTAACCTTATCCATTGAACGCAATGATGCTGTGTGGACTTTGTTTTGCATCTTGAGTTTGATGGTTAAGGTTGATGTCGGGTTTACGAGCTGTTCTTACAGGAATGAAATGGAAATTCTTGATTATTTCGAAATATCGCGCTAATTAAGATACTCCAGCGCCTCTGTAATAACAAACTGTAAACACATCAGCTAAGTCTTGTCCTGCCATTTAAGTATTTATTGTCACTCGGGAATCTGACTTTAGCTGGAAGTGATTTGCTCAATTTGACTGAATGTCTTGAGCTCACACTGACTGATTTCTGTTCAAATCTGACTGGGAAAACTAATTCAAGTTAAGATTTATTGCATACAACTACTTGCAAAATCCAAATGTCATATGTTGCAAACTTCCATTTATCTCAATACACTTGATAAGACCATATACAGTAAAACTTCAGACTAGTGTCAGATAACTAGACGACTTTGTCAGTTCAAAACTAAGCAATATTAAAATTCAAAGATACTCTCTTCTATTTTTTACAATATCACAAAGTAAATTGAACCCTATGGCATTGTAAACGTGCGGAAGTATGAATGTCTGATGTATCTGAGGATGAAAAAAAGAAAGAATTCTAGATTCACATATTTTCTCTATCAAAGCTGGTCAAACCAGACGGAAAATTCTTCTTCCAATATGCATGACAGATTTACTTATATAAAATGTATCATTGTTAGAAACATAGTATAGTCTGTAACAGACATTTGAAGATGTATAGCAAATAACTTTAGCAAAATCATGTACTTAAGAAAGAATTTTATGTTGACAAAATAGCTTATTTTTTTTATTATTAAATTCCTTAAAATCAAAAATTAAAGAGAACATAAGAAAAAATTTCAATACTTCAAGCACAGACATTGAAACGTTTTGGCAGCGCTAATATTTATCGAAAGATGGCAACAAACAGAATCGAATGGTATGCTTGAATGAAAAATATTTAAACAACCATAAATAAGTTCAGCACAAAACACAGAACGAAGAATATCCTTTGAGACATAACAAATTATTAACATTGAACACACAAAAAAAAAGAATATCTGATGCGAATTGAAAATTATTTGAGCCTAAAGCATTTATCAATGTTTTAAAGACATTTTTCACTACCACATATTTTACCCTCCTCAATTTCTTTTTGTGTCTGCACATACTAACGTATTGTCATTGGATTTATTGCGTGGTTTTATCGAATGCAGTAACCACTTGATGACTGTCCTGAGAATTCAGCAGTTCTTTTCATTTGTGGACTGAGTTATGCAATTTTCAAATTTGTGGAATGAGAATCGCTAGCACTAGTCGGACTATGTTTGCAATAACTCATTTGATTGCATACAAATGAGACGATATAAATGTAATTAAGATAAAGGCGCTTTCAACCAACTGCATCAATATCATATTACTTAATTAAAATGGAAAGGAAATTGGAAAATATGGCAAAATAAATTTCATATAAAATTGCTCAATAATTGAAGAAAGATTAATTCTAATTGAATATGCTGCAAAGGAATTAACTGAAATTCATTTTTTAAGTTTATGTCATTTTTCACTTTCTGGTGAGGGGTTTGTGTGGATATTAGGTGGTCTAAGGTAGTGAATTAGTTAAGTAAGGAAGGAAGTGGTTGTAGCTCATTTATTTTTCCACTCCAGGATTCATTGAGAAACTCTCCACGACTTCTACGCTACGAAGAGGCAGCAGGTACCTAAAACGAGACTTATCGACATTCCATAATATTTAAATGATCCCCACAAATCTTGTCTTCTTTACCATTTCTCTCCTTGTTGATTTTGTTCCTCCATACTTGTAAGACATGTCGTATTCAACATATTATTATGTGCAAATTAAATATCGAATTTTATCAAAAAATTATTCTTTACTTCATGTAAGATCAGAACTTATATATTTACTTTTTTGGAGAAATCATTGAGTGGACTCATGTGGTTCCAGTGTGTAAAAAATTCGATTAACATAGGAAACGACAAGAAACAAATATTTTTTTATATGTCTGTTGCAGGAGAGCCAAGCATAAAAGCTTATTCATCTCTTGATTGCATTTCATTCAATTGCAAGAAATTCTCTCGAATAAATTTTATGCATTACATGATGCTCACACACAGTAAAGAAAAAGATAAATGCGAAGAGAAACAAAGCGTAAATAAATTAAACGGCGAATATTATGTGACGAGATATTTAATATCGATGTGAAAGAGATAAATATGCGAGCGCACAGTAAGAAGCACTTACAAATGTTCTCTTATTGCATTGCCGAATGACTAGCATGTCTAACTCGTTAAATCTGCTAAATTGCAAGTTAACAGACAATAATTGAAGGGATTCAATAAAGCACAGCCTGACATGGTTCCAAAAAGGAAGTTATTAGTCAAATCATAATGAACTTTACTCTCATGGCTAGATGTAAATCTACAAAAATCCATCTACCGAACTACTGTTTAAATAAAGCAATCCAATAAGGAAGAGAATTAAAATAGGTTGTGCCCAAAAAAAAAGCTCAGAAGAAATAAAATTATAGTTATTACGACTGTAAATACAGCAAACTGCATTGTAATAACTCAGCACACAGCACACTCGTATGAATGATCAGCAATAAATTTTCATTTTAATCCATATGATTTTAATTGCTGAAATTAAATTTCTTTTCATTTTCATTTCCATATTAAATGTTTTTGCTTTTATGTAAATCAAGTAGAAGTGAGATGAAGTATCTTTGGGTATGAGTTAATCGTTTAAATATTTTTTCAGCTTGTCGCATTGTTATTGGAGCGCTTTATGAGAAAGAATGCTTGATTCATTGGATATGGATTATGAAGTGTGAAATTAATTAATGGAAAAATGTTGAGTTTGAGTTGTAGTTGAATTATGCCTATTAAGTCATTCTTGCTATAACTTTTGGTGTATTTTAATTAAGTTCTTTAAAATTTACATGAGAGCAAGGCTAGGGATGCCTAATGATACCTTAATATAGCCCCTAGTGATGTCATTTGAATATAGATGAGATCGTCTCGAAATGACTTGAAGTTCTGTCCAGAGGTTTCTAGGGACATACCTACACCGACTATAATTAAGGAGTAGGTGTGCATTAACACCTAAAATCACAATAAGACCACAGACAAAACATCAACAGACCGTTCCATCTTTCTAAGAATTCACGTCATGTA